TCATGCATAATAAATTAATAACAAAGTAAAACATTAAGCATAAATACGTCTAATAATTTTAAAATAACACAAATTGTCGAAAAATCTTAAATACGAATTTCCGGGTGACGCTCAAGACAATACTTTATATGCCTCCTTAAACTGCCTGTGCCAGACCCTGAACGAAAATTTAAGACTCTACCACAGTTCTTGCACTTTAATATTTGACCTTCTTCATTTTCTTCTAGCACCTCAAAGTGTTGCCAAACAAATGAGCGCACTCTTTCCGAACGAGACATGATTTAACTTGAGATTTGAGATTGAGGCTTGAAGTCTTGAAAATTGGAGATTGAGAGAATGAGAGAAATTTAGATTGAGAAATGAGTATTGAGTGAAGAAATGAGTATTGACTTGAAGCCTTATTTTGTTCTCTTAATTGAGTAAAAAAATTCCAAACAAGTGATGTTTCGGGGCGTTTAGAAGNATCTAACATGAAAAACAATTACTAAATGCAGGATTTAGTGTTGTTGTAAGTATGCGAAAGCATTAGTGTTACTAGAAGCATTATCCATAGAAATTGCCATTATTTTATCTCTAATGCAAAAATATCTACAAATATCTGCAACGGTGTTAGCAATAAACTTACATGTGTGACGTGAATTAATTATTCTATAAGCAATAATGCGTTTTTGCATTATCCACTCCTTATCTATCCAATGACTTGTTACAGTTAGATAGTCACAGTCATTATTACTTCTACCAATATCAGTACTAATAGCAATCCGACAATTTATATGAGTAAATAAATACCGCAAATATTGTTCATATTCATGTTTATATTTATAAATATCGCTCTTTACGGTTGCGCGAGGCCAACCTTTATAAGTAGGATTAAAAACTTTTCTAATATAATGCACAAAGCTAGGGTTAGAAGGAAAACTATAGGGTAAGCACATAACGGTAACCATCTTTGCTAATTCTTCACGATCTTTATTTGGATCGTAATATAAAATACCACCGGTCACAGTGCTAATTCCTGGTTGAACTAGATTTGAACATGTACTATCTACACTTGTCCCCTCTAGTAGCGCTTTCATTTGTAAAAATTTAGCTTTATCTCTAGGGTATGTTTTTATGTGCCTAGCCAAACTAAGCGTACTGCTACGGTCTCCAGTAAATTTATGCGCCAGCAAACTCCCACAAGTTTTACACTTAGCCTTATTTTGTTCTCTTAATTGAGTAAAAAAATTCCAAACAAGTGATGTTTCGGGGCGTTTAGAAGGTTGTCTATTAAAAGTAGGGGTTTCTACAGGTGGGTCGGGCGGGGCATCAGTTGGGTTATTAACAGGACTAGTAAGTGTATCATCTAAATCCGGTTGGGTTTCATCTACATCATCATTTTCATCATCATTTTCAAAAATAGTTTCATTAGGATAAAGAGCATTCATAACTTCATCATTTAATTGTTGACCTGGTGCAACATTATGGCAAAATTCACTATCGGAAAATTGAAAACAAGGGTTATCACTGTCAAGAATAATAGGTGCAGGAGGACGGGTAACAGGTCTGGGTCGGGGAGCCGGGGGAAGGGTAGTAGGTTGGCGACTACTTTCACCAATTTTAGATTTTCCCTTACCACCAAATATTTTTTTCAAAGAAAATGCCATATTAATTAGCCTTAAAAATTAATATGCAAACTAAAACACACAAAAATATATTCTTAAAACTTAAGAGTTGGAACGAGTTTACCGAATTGCCGAACAACTTCTTGAAAATTGAAAATCGTTGAAGACTTGAATACTTCAATTCACCAACTTCACAATTTTTCAAGAAATTGCAATAATAAATTAAGCAATTATAGAAGAGAATTAGATATAGATTGAGAGAGATTGATGAATTTGTGAGTAAAAATGAAAGAATGAGGGGGTATTTATAGTTGAGAATTGGGAAAAAGTGTAATTATATAAAGTTTGGGGTTAAAATAAAGTTTGGGGGCCAAATGGCTATTTTTTAAAGTCCCAAACGGCTCTTTTTTGATGGCCAACGGCTAGATTTTAAAATCTGACCGTTGGTCATTTTTTTAAATTTTTTTTATTTTAAATTATAGCCGTTGAGGCCCGGTTGAACCGGCCCAGGCCCGCCTGCCAGTCCCGGGCTCGTGGGCTAAATGTGCAAGACCGGCCCGCTACGGGCTTGGAGTACCATTTTGGACCGGCCCAATAGGCCCGTTTGGCCCGCGGTTCCGGTTCGGTCCCGGGCTGGGCCCGGCCCACAATGCAGCATTAAGCGTGGAGAGTTTGGGACAGTAACTCTTCTTCCCATATATGGGCGGACCTATGATCGCCCAGTAGCACTAATAGCTCACGAGAGTAAGGGCCGGGATGTATAGGCGCGTCCATGTCGTCAATTGTAAATTAAACAACATAAATTGTATGTTTAATATGTAATTGTACAAAGTATATATACCTATTGGGTTCCAGGCTCGATATTTGAGGCCCAGTAGCACCAAACTATCATGAATAATTGTGTGTGTCAAATTCAATATTTTGATAATTTTGTGTGTGTTTGTTTTATAATTTAAATTCTTAATTTTTAATATGTAATTGTACAAAGTATATATACCTATTGAGTTCCAGGCTCGATATTTGAGGTCTAGTAGCACCAAACTATCACGAATAATTATGTGTGTCAAATTCAATATTTTGATAAGGGTTGGACTATATTTGTCCTTTATATATTCCAGTTGACACAAAAGGTCCTCTATGTTTAACAAAAGTAGACTCGTTTAGTTTTACGAGACGGAAGGCGTCAAATTTAACCAAACGATTCTTATGCCTCAGTGCATATCATCCCTAAATCTGGAAAATACCTATTTGCTCACCAACTTGGGTTCTTTGTGTTCAAGTAATATTGAATTAGACGATGAGAGAAAGTTAAAAGCAACTTGGTTAATAGCTACACAAAGCCCAATTCCAAGGTGAAGATATAACTTAAGACACTATTGAAGTTATGGCAATGGAAAACAGTTTGGATTCAAGGAAGACCAACGGATTCACTTATCCAAAAAAAAAAAAAAAAAACGAAAGAGTTTAAGGGATTGTCTAAGATTCTAGATTTAAATTGTGAGGCTAGAAGATGGCAATCTTGACCAGAAAGTCCCTAATTCTTGGAATTAAATTTGAAGTAGGTTTTTGTTATTATACTTGAAATTCAATATTATTGAGGTTTCCGTTGATTTGTCTGTCTTATTGAAAGTGGGTTTTGGTTTAGTTTGGAATTATATTCTTCAAAACTCAAATGCTTGAAGGGTCCCTTTTAAATATAAGCTTTGTTGAGCTATGATGTTGCGATGTTTCTATTTTTTGTTTTTGTGTGAAAATTTTGTAGGGTGCAATCGGTATTAGGAACAAGAAATGAAAGAAGTAAGGAGTGTAATGAATTTTTTCTCTAAATTTTGTAGGAGCCTGAAGGTGTAATTAGTCAATTATATTTGTGTTTTTTTTTTGTTCTTTCCGTTAAAATCCTTTAACTTTTTGTTAGTTCTAACACTTCAAACTAATAGCCCGTTTTGCCAAGCTATAAAAATCAGCTTATTTTGATAAGTGCTTTTTTTCAAAAGCGTTTTTCTCAAAAGTTCTTTTGGTGAGAAGCAGTTTGTGTTTGGCTAATTAGTTTGAAAAGCACTTCTGAGCAGCAATTAGTGTTTGGCCAAGCTTTAAAAAACTGTTTCTAAGTGTATTTTTCTCAAAAGTGCTTCTCAAAAAAGTGCTTTTGGAGAGAAACTACTTTTTTCTGCTTTTTCAAAACTGCTTCTGCTTCTCCTCAAAAGCACTTTTTTTCCTTCCAAAAGCTTGGCCAAACACCTCAATTTTTGGCCAAAAGTGCTTTTGGCGAAAAAAAAAAAATCACTTTTGACAAAAAAGAAGCTTGGCCAAACAGGCTATAAATGTGTCTATTTTTGTTAGACATAGAGGAACTTTTGTGTCCACTAGAATACATAAAGGACAAACATAGTCCAACCCTTATATATAAGGGAGTATTGGGATCTTTTCCTCATATTTTAATTGTTGCTAAATCTTTATCTTAAAATTAAAAAAAAAATAAGTTGACACCACACGCAAGAAAGTAAAAACTCTCCTTTACACTCTGTTTGGATCACTGTTCCCCATCGTTTTATAATGTATCGTATTGTACTGTATTGTATCGTATCGTATCGTTTTATGAATACAATGTTTGGATAGATTGTATTGTTCGTTGTTGTTAAATAACATTTTGCTGTTTGGTTTGACTGTATCGTACTGTACTTTAACTGATAAGTTTACTACAATACCCTCAATTATTTTAAATATTTAATTTATCAAAAATTACACATAAAAATTATTTAAGAAAACCACTTTCTACTAACTAATCACTAATTATGTCTTATATATAAATTAAGCAATTAAATTCATACAAATTCTATCGAAATTAGTTGAACAAGTTAATAACATTAAAAATAATAATAAGTACACTATATTTATAATTAGATCATAATAATAAAAATTTTAAAAAAAATATTAAGTAGACTTCCTTCAAACAAAAGTAAAACAAAACATTTACCTGAAGAGTATGGAGAAGTGGTAGAAGAACAAAATGAGTTTTTCACGTATGTAGGTTATTATATACTAGGTTATATTTGGGATGTCGTCTTGAGAATTTATATCGGTTATTAGACTTCATGTAGAATTCTATTACAAAATTATGTGAGAAAGAGACTTTGCTATTATTTAAAATAAAAAGGTAAAGGGTAAAATAGAATTATAAAGTAATAAGTTAGGGCATAATTAGAAAGAAAAATAGGAAACGATCCCACCACACCAAATCGGTTGTTTCAAAAAATAGGAATTTTTATTGTTCCGGAATAATGGATTTAACAATACAATGCAACCAATTTTAACTAAACAATCAAAACAAACATTGTTCGACGAAAACAATACAATACATACAATAGGTCTGTAAGTTTCTTTTCTTTTCTTCTCTACCTTTCTTTTAGTGTTCCCCCCAATTTATCAAACGAAGAGCAAAACCCTAGCCCCTACAACCCCTCTTCTTCTCAGATTTACTATACTACCGTTGGCGAGCAACTGTAAACGTCTGTATGTACACACTTCTTCTCCTTCTTGTCTAAACAACTATCTCGCTCTCTTTCGTAGGAATCTGTATCTCCTCTGTCCTAGCTTCACCTCTCAGGGAATTTGTACGTCTCCCGTCTCTTTCTATTCTGTATCAATGGGGAATGTAAGATTGTTTTCTTAACTATTGATATCAGTAGTTTTCAGGAGAATACATCAAACATCTTCAACCCTAAAATCACTAGATGTAATTTTGAGACGAAAGTTCTAGATATATAACTCTTTAGTTGTGTTGTGCAGATTATTCCAGCAATTTCTGGAGGAATTACTGTTTTTTCTGTAATTACATATTTTTCTTATTTTGTTTCCCTTATGTTCAAATATATGTGGACTCAAAAGTAAATAAATAAATGTGCGCGTGTCGGAGCCCTCGGTACATTGATTGTTTGAGAATCCAAGTATTTTCTTCTTGTTGTTCCTCTATCTATGTCTGTTTTTCGTAGCTTTAATTACTTCTGAGCTAAAGAACATTTAATGTTTTGCTCATTTGCTGTTGTGATACCAGTGAAATCTCTATTGCATTTATAATTTTTTTTATGTTATTCCTATTATGGGCTTAGGTTAGAATGAGGAAGAGTTACAATTCAATTATTTGGTGGTAGTAAATTTTCTTTTCAGGTACTCGTTCCTTCTTTTTCGTTGCCTTTTCTAGATTTAAAATGTTTGATGTGTCTTATTGAACAAATAAACTTTGATATTCATTTTAAATAAACTTTTTCAAGGGTGCTATATTATGTACCATTCGCTCCTTCTATGAATGTAAACTTCGTGAAATTCGTGATTTTCTTTGTAGTTGTCAGACATTTTAACTGTTAGATAGTAGGTCTTAATCAAAAGGGCCTGGTCACTTGAATTTAGAGAAGGCCAACATTTTGTGTAAAATTAGTTTCAAACCATTCATTAGTTGGTTTCATTAATATATGCTTGATACAGATTAGTAAAATTTCCACGAATGCAAATTATTTAAGTAATTTGATCTAATTATCATGTTGTTCCAGAAAAAGAATGAGTCCTTCAAGTCCCTTTTTGCACTTTGCTTCGTTATTTCTTATCCCTCCATTTTGTTTTATCACTGGTTGGTAACAATCCTTAGTGGATTTTTGGTTTTTAGCATTATTTTCATATCCATAGAGTTAGTTGCTGAAGTTTGCTTCTCTGGCACTACTAAGTTTAATATTTTTTTAATGAAGGACCTACTTTTCAAGTTTGCTCTTTAACTTATGATCAAAATTTGGGTGATCTGATTTATATGTTTGTTGAGTTGTCTATTATGGTCTTGAAATTGTGAATTAAAATTTCGTATGGTAATTTAGACATATAAAATAGTTGCTTGTGTTATAGGTACGTTTGTGATTCTGATTCTTCTCCATGTTTCAAAGGTGGGTTGTTTGAGAGATGCTTCCGATTCAATTCTGGAGGAGTTAAAAACCCTCCAGTTTTACTTCCTAACCAAATAACCAAGTGTCCCTTTTCTCTTTATTATTATATTTCTGCCCTCAATTTAACTATGAAATTGATTGATGCTGCTTGAAAGATTACTTATTGTGGAACCCTGCATTGATGTCGCTGCATTTGGAATCAAGCATAACATTTTCATATTTGCTATTTTGCCCTGTTCTTTTTATTAGTCAGTGTGGAACAAATCATCCACCCATAAACTTTTAACTTTCAGTATCAGTTTTGTACGGAATCTTGAGATGTGACACTTGTTTTGTCGCCGCTAAAGCCTTATTTTCAGCGGCGACTTACTTGAGATCGCTATTGTGTATTATTTTTTGTCGCGTCTTTTTTTACTTTTAGTAGCGGATTTGGTCGCCACAAATATGTAGTTATTGTAGCGACCATCAAGAGTTGTCACAAGAAACATTTAGTAACGGTTGTAATAGTAGCAACCCTAAGGTCGCTGCTAAAAACAATTAGCGACGATAGTTATGATCTTTTTGTATATATTGGTTTAATATTTAGCTTCTCTTCTTGTATTTGGACGTTGTTAGATGGAAAAGACAAGCATACAATTTTTGGTGGACTAGCTGTGGGAACACATCCAGGAAGGAACTGTTCAATCAAATCAGGTTTTCGAAATCGTAGGAAAGCTGGAACTAGCTAAATCACACCTGCTTGCTAAAGGTAGTCAATTTATTAGATTAGTGTTTTCTGGAGCCATCTCTTTTATTATATTTGATCTTTTTAAAGAAAGAATATAAACTTCATTCCAAAACAAGTGACTACTATAACATGGTAAAATACGAATGATGTTGGAGTTGGACTGTTGGTGTTGGCGCTAGCTAACACTCGAACAGAACTTGGTAAACAATAGAAGTGATGCTGGCTGGCCAGACATTCATAGACCAAGCACAAGATTTTACAACAAATAAATGGAAAATAGAGGAGGTGCTGGTCGGTGTTACTGCAAGCTGACGCACAGACATAGTATATAGCCACACTGACAAACAATTCTACTGTATGTCTAAAAGCAAATACTAGTAGGAAAAATGGTGGTGGACATTAATCCCAGTTTTCAATGACATATTAACTATATTACTAGAATGTTTTATAACAATGACTTGTTTAAATGGCTGGTCCATTAGGCATTCGGCGAACCATCCAGTACCACGCCTACGACCCCCCCCCCCCCCCCCCCCCCACACACATATATATACATATATATGTAATTCACTGTATGTATGTAGTTTTTATTGAATTGTGCCATTCATGTTCATAAGTTCATTATTCCAAGAACCCTACGAACTCATGATTGTTTATCATATGATTGCTTATCTTCCATTAGATTTAATATTCTATTTATTTCTTGCACAGCTGGGCGAACTACTGGCACTCCTGGGCCTTCTTCGCTTCAGCAACAAGTAGCTGCAACTCCACTTGTTTCAACAATGGATATGCAAGTAACAACTAAGCCGATGTTGAGGAAGGACTGCAATTTATAGCCGATGTTGAGTTCTTACTGAAGAGGATATCAACGTTTTTCAGTGTGTCTTTGCTCTATCGAAGCCGTAGCCGAAGCCGTAACCATAGCCGAAGCCGAGAAGAGCCGAGCGAGCGACGACGACGACGGTGCGAGGCTTGCCTTCTTCTTAACTCTTTAAGAGCTACATTAAGTGCATTTGTATATAAACCCACCAAAATCCTTTTCCTCTGCCAATATGGGACAATGCCTCATTAAAAAGAGAGAGAAACTTAAAATTTTACTCAAAAATTTCATTTTCCCTTCATTTCCCATTCACCCTCTTTTTAATACTTTTCCATATTAAAAAGAAACTCAACAGATTTTACATTTTCATACAACTGAGAGTCATCATGAAGTTATCATTTTGGTCGAAGAATGACATCAAACAAAGCATAACCATCACCAAAGTGCAAGAGATAAACTCTACTTGAAGAAAATCATCAACAGTTGATTGTGATTGATTGCAAAAGGAACCAGTAGGCTAGAGATGAACCAAAATAAACTCTACTGGAAGAGCATCATCAACAGCAGAACCAATAACATTTTAGAATTATTTGAAGTTGGATAAGCGGGGCAATTTCCAATGAAGAATTAACTAACGAATTACGTTTCATTCAAAAATACCAAAATTCAAGGTGAATCATCTTGAGATTCTTTGATCACAACTTCTAAGACAAATCAAAATTTCTGTAGAAGCTATCAAGTACTCGTTTGCTCCTCAAACTTCTAGTATAGGAAAGGTAACTACCTAAGTACTTAAGGATAAAAGCACCTATAGTCAAGTAAGAAAGACAACTATAATGCTCGATATTTCATAAATGTTGACATAAAAAGAACCATGTTAAGTAATTTGTTGTTTACAAAGGGAATACCCACATAAGGACAATATTACACGACCACGATATAAACTCAACCAACATATTACCAGTAAATAGGAAGTAACAAATTCTTGTCTCCAACTCCTATATGCTACACATCATGCACAACAATAAGAAGTAAATTAGAACAACGTGAAAGATATTTTTGTAGTTACATAAACAGAGGAGAAACAGAGTCCTAAATTGTGGAAAAAAAAGAAAGGCAACAAGCTTCTATTGATAATATATTTTATAATGTCCCACACGTAAAAACATTTAATATTGCAAAAGTGGTGGTAGAGAATGAAGATAGATTACCTGTATTAGAGGAAGGGACTTTCATCAATATTAGTCCTCTTGCATGAGTGTCACTTGATCTGATTATCGCGTAACTACATATAGTGTCTTGAAGAGGAATTCAGAAGTGAGACAAAATAATGAGAAAATTGGTGATATTTGTCGACTGCTTTGATTATTTATATGGTTGCAATAGTAGAATGCAAAAGCTTCTCTAACTTCATGTGTGATATCGGGAGCCCGTGATCGCCAAGAATCGCTACTGTTGCAATCTCAAGAATCCACCAGCAACAACCTACATTAGATCATCGTCGTTTTCTGTAAAATTCCAACGCTTAGCCCTTGAAGCAGTTAGCTTTCCTCTACCTTCTAAACTTATTTCAAAAATATACAAAGTACTTCTAAGCAGTAAGTAACATATGTTGCACACATTTTAAGTAAAAAAATATAGGATATAAACATCTAATACATAATACTACCACCCTTATTGTTTTAAAAGGTAAACCCCACAATATTTCACTTAGTATCAATATGATGGTTGAGTTTAATTAAGTAATATTTAACATTAACAATAATATATTAAACAGTTAATGTTTCTATAAATATCGAGGCGAAGCACACAACTTGATCTTTTCCGAGCTTTAGGTCTTAAGAGGACGTGTAACAACATTGGCCCAAAAAATTATATTTCAAGGCGCATCTGTCCAAATGCAGATATTGCATCAATTTCCTGAAACTATGACCATTTAAAAATAATACCTGAATTGCAATAGAGAAAGGTTATTTTGAAGCACACGGGATGATATTAGAAACCAAAAGGTTTATCAGGGTGATACTCTGATCCAATTAAACACTTTATGTTAATTAATATGTTTCTTTACACATATGGAGATTAGACACAAAATAAAATACCAAAATAGGCAACTGGATAAAATGGCCAAAACTTCATAGAAACATATTTGCCTTCCTCCCTCCTCACATTTTCATGTCTAAACCAAAAATTAAAAGGGGATTCAAATATATAGCGAGAGTGAATGCTATTAAAACGATTACGAGCAATTAATTTATAAGAAAATACCTTTTTTCTCTTGTGGGTATAATAATCATAATCTGTGTGCTAGGTTTACATTGGGTCATGACTCAGAACATCAAGGAAGCATTTATTAGTAGGCATTTTTGGAGAGTTGATAAAACCATCAAAAGGATCTGGAGGATGATCCTAGCTGCAATCTTTTGGAGTGTCTGTTGATGGGATCTCAACTCCAACTTACATTCTTAAGGCTTAGTTAGACTGTCTAGCTGGCATTTTCATTCCCCTGTAAACAATGTTGATAATTTTTTTGATTTTGTTAGCGCCTAAATTCTAGCATAGACATAATTCTGGAGCTAACTTTTTGGCTGCCTTGTATTCTTCATCTTCTGGATGCCTTTTATTAATGATAATTAGTTAATTACTTACTTCATAAAAAAAATTCATAATCTATATGGGGAATTTTTTTATAGAGAAAGGAATACCTGAAGAGCAAGGCGTCTTCAGTCATTTTTCACTACAGATTCAGAAGCACCAGGTTGAATCCTCAAGATCCTTTATGAATCAGCTAAAGAAGAGGATGAATAAATCCAGAAGGCAATGAAAGCAAGAACATTAAAACAATGTAGAATATTTCTGAGAAAGATAAGGCATTGATACGTGGCTTTTCCTTTTTAAGGTCAGAGGACACATAACTTAGATGATGCATTAACAGTCCAAAATCTGATCGGAAGATAAACTTTATTTAAGTAGTTTTCTTCAAGTTCTGGACATATATACATTGGTAGTTTTAGCAAAGACTATTACGCGTTATCAAGCAACTCTCCTAAAGGAGAGGAAAGGGAACTGGATATTATGCATCTCTGTTAGAGGAAAAGGAAAATTCATACTGATAGCTAAATTTTGCTAATTCTATAATATCCAAGAACATATTGCATGCTCATATATAAACGGCAAACGCAAGGAAGTTCATAGATAAGGTATTATATCCTAATCCTGAATCTGAATGTAAAAATTTACATATAACTACAGTCAAACAAACAATAACAAAGGGCAAACTTACATGCCTTTCTCCATCTTGATCCATCTTTAGCCATAATATTCCTGCAAAAGGAAGAAAGAGTTCAAAGCTAAATTCTTTCTATAACACAACTCTGATTCCATAAAGTTTTGATAACTTATGTGGACAACTCTAATGCGAGCTTCAATCCACTTTAGAACCTTAGCCTGCTTCTAAGAATTTGCTCCTCGGAAAAAGATGTTAAAACACATTAGGAGCTGTTATCAATTTATCATACTCTGCAACGTATGAACTTACATATTGACAGAACATAAGGTGTGTTTGGTATAACGGAAAATATTTTTCAAAACATTCAAGCCAACCAAACATGGAAAAATTGGAAAACATACCAAACACACCCATAATTGAAAACGTTTTTCCCATTCACCTGATACTTCCTCGTTGAAACAATTGGTCCCACCACCTGAAACATAATTTTTGAAATCCTTTGAAACCTTAAAGCAGATAGATAAAGTTCAGAATAAAAAATAGATATTAATAAATAATATTTCCACATATAAAATAATTCAGAAATAAAAAAGCACATAATGTGATCTGTGTATCAGCCGTTAGACCGAACACTTATCTCGAACTTCCACGGCCAACTCAATCCTCAAAAACCGTCTTTCCTTGCGAATTTGGCTCCAACACAATCTTATCTATACATAATCGGCTTTATAATATCAATAAATGCTAAATAATCCAATTCCAATGCTTAATTATAGCTTTTTAATCATTCTTCCCAAAAATCCAAAAATTGACCCCGGGCCCGCTTGGTCGAAACACGAGCTTCGGACCAAAATCAAATCGCCCATTCACACACGATTCCAAATATATAATTTGTTCAAGAATTTGAACCCAAAACGAGGTCTAAATCACAATTAATTAAAAAGCCCTAACTCTACCCAAATCAGTAATTTTCTACCCTTAATCACATGTTTTAGGCCTAGAAATCTAGTGGGTGTTGTTAAAAATGGAAGAAAACAAGTCAAATATTACTTACCCAAGAGATTGTGGTGAGGAAATGCTTCAAAAATCGCCTAAGAGCTTTGGAGAAGAAGAGGTTTATGAAATTTTGTAAAAATCCCGTAAGTATTCTGTTTTGGACTTTTAAAATAACTGGGCGAAATTGCCCTTCGAGTTCGGGACAGGCCCATCACGTTCGCGATGAGTCAGGCCTGAAGGCCTTCGCGTTCGCGAAATTGGGCTCGCGTTTGGGGAGAGTAAACTCCTCGAGACCTCGCATTCGCGTCCAAAGGGTCGCGTTCGCATAGAACTGTGAGCACGTGATTTTTGCCTCGCTTGAACTATTCCTATAGAATTCATTAAAATTAGGATTTCTCTTTTATTATTTGAATTTTTGGGAATTAATTGCATGATTTTGTGATTGTTTGCATTTTTGTGCATTTTTAATTGACATAAGTCGTAAAAATACAAAATAGCATACTTGCATTTAGGACCCAATTCTAGATTTTTAGTTAATTAACATCATAAAAATAAGAAAAAAAAATAACAAAATATTCATTTTTACATGTTTGTTTAGCTTTCTTTTTAAATTGGGATTTAGTTAGTTTTAGGAAAATTAATTAGTTTGATTTCAATTTAATTCAAGTCTTTGTTATTTTTAATTTTGATTTTTTTTTGCTTTTAACAAAAACAAAAATCAAAAGAAATGAAAATGAGTTGAATTTAAATAAAAAAAGAAGAAAAAGAAAAAGAGAATAAATAAAAGATTTGAATTAAAAAGAAAACAAAAAGAAGAACAAATCAGGCCAGCTATTCTTTTGGGGCCATTATTCACAATATTTTGCTAGCCCAATTGAAATAATGTGCCAGCCCACGCCAAATCAGGCCCAAATCACACCCATACCCGGTTCGAATGCCCCATGCCTTTGAGATTAATGAAACGATGTAGTATAGGAAGAATACTACGTCGTTTTGAGTTAATAAATGACAAATCAATCATGGCCCTCCATCCCTCATAATCCGACGGCCCTGAGTTCATCTTGGCTTTTAATTAAAAGTGTCCAAATTTCAGAAAACCCCAGAGACAAAATTCGCCTTCCTCGTACTTCTGCTTAACCTCCGTCGCCCTCCGCCGTCCGCCGCCGGCCGGAAATCGCCTCCGCCGGCGGCAAGTCCCCAATGACCGTCAGATTATACCAAAACATTTCCCTCCACCTCCTTATCTTGAATACACGATTTGTTTCTTTCAAATATCAACCAAACATCTCAAATATTTAAAATCCTAGGTGCCGCCGCCACCGTGCACGGCGGCGCCACCACCCAAACCCCACCAAAATCACACCCCACAACCGTCTTACCCTCCTGTACCTAAATCCCAGACTAATTTTCCCCAAATCCAACTGAAACTTTCCGAATTTTAGATCTAGGGTTTTATAAAAACTGGTTGAATTTTTT